ATCTGGGGAGTGAATCACTGAATGGAAGACCTCTATTTCTGCCTCTGCCTCTCTGTAACTCTGCCCTTCAAATAAATAAATAAATCTTAAGAAGGAAAGCATTAAGTGTTAAAGGGATCATATAAATAAGATCAAGTGTCTGGTAATAATCATCGATCGAATTAAAAAGGAGAGAATGTTCCAACATGGAAAGCAGTCCACACAGCAGACTCATAGAATGACAATCACTCTAAATAGCATGCTGACCTCAGAATCAGCCCTTAAGGCATTCTGGTCTGGCTGAAAAGCCCATGAGAGCATTTCAGGCATGGAAAGCCAAGACACTATGGCAAAAAATAAATAAATAAATAAATAAATAAATAAATCCTACATGAAAGATCTCTGTGAGTGAGACCCTAGTGGAACAAAGAGGCCTTCAAAGAAGGATGTACTTTTCTCTGAAGGGAGGAGAGAGCTTCCACTTTGCTTATAGTCTTGTGTAAATACTGATGGAGACTATGGACTCAAAACGCTTCCATAGACTTGGCAGCTCATGTCAAGAGCCTCAGGTGATCACTGACGTCATACATAAGAATGTTAATTGTTAAATTAACAACAGGAGTCACTGTGTACTTGCTTCCCATGCAGGACCTCTGTCTTCAATGACTTGTAGTATGAGAATTAACTGTAAAACTTGTTTGCATGCAGTTTTTTATATTTGTGTGTGTGCATATTGTTGAAATCTTTATTTAGTATAGAATTGGTCTTCTGTGTATAAAGTTAATTGAAAACGAATCTTAATGGAGAATGGAGACTGGGAATGGGGGGAAGAGGAGGAGGAACTGGAGTGGGAGGGCGGATATGGTGGGAAGAATCACTATATTCCCAAAGTTGTACTTATGAAATTTGTACTCATTAAATAAAAGGTTTCCAAAGAAAGCAGAATGAGATTTATTGCTCAGTGTCGTTTATGCAGAATAAACACATATTCAAATCTTGTATATTTCTTTTTTTTTTTTTTTCGACAGGCAGAGTAGACAGTGAGAGAGAGACAGAGAGAAAGGTCTTCCTTTTGCTGTTGGTTCACCCTCCAATGGCCGCCGCGGCTGGCACGCTGAAGCCAGCGCACCGCGCTGATCCGAAGGCAGGAGCCAGGTGCTTCTCCTGGTCTCCCATGGGGTGCAGGGCCCAAGCACTTGGGCCATCCTCCACTGCACTCCCGGGCCATAGCAGAGGGCTGGCCTGGAAGAGGGGCAACCAGGACAGAATCCGGCGCCCCGACCAGGACTAGAACTCGGTGTGCTGGCACCGCAAGGCGGAGGATTAGCCTATTGAGCTGCGGTGCCGGCCCAAATCTTGTATATTTCAAGAGGACACATATAAAAATAAATGGATGGCAGCTGGCAAGGTGACTGGGTCCTGGCCAATCTGTTCTCCAGACCTTGTATGTGAACCTGGACTGGCTAATACAGTGCAGCGATTGACAGCAAGGTGGCACTATTGGCAGAGTGAGTAATGCACCTGGACTATAGGATGTGCTCGAGGGAGTTTTGGCAATTATAAGGTCATCAAGTAGGAGTTTCAGATAGTGGTTTTGGGAATACAAAAGGCTTTTGGCAACAAAAGGCATTTTGCAAACTGGAAGAACCTTACCAGGACTGTCAGACTTCTGTGCTCTGTGGAACTGACAAAAGATTAGAACCTTACCCTCAACCCCAAACTGTCTGATATCCATTATTACTACTGTGTCCTTTGCGTTTCTCACAGTAAAATACGCCTTCCTAAGATGTATTTCAGAGTTCTCATTTTTACTAAAACCTCGATCCTTGTCAGAATGGTATACATGAAATGCAGAAAAGGTGGAGAAAGTTACTGGAGAAGACAGCTGGCACCCCTGGGGCTGCCGGTTAGCAGAAACTCAGACGAGGGACCTCCCACAGCTGCAGCCGGTCCTCTGCCCAGCTGAGGATACTGGTACCTTTGAGTAGCATGAGGAGGCTGGTTCTGGTATCTCCCCAAAACTTGGGGGTTCAGATCTGTGTTCTGTGTAAGGATAGAGTTGCACATGACTTGCTTATTGGACTGGCAATGAAACAGGAGGGACCAGGGTAGATGTTTGGTGCAGCAATTAAGGAACCTGCATCCCATACCGGCGTGCCTGGGTTCAAGTGGTGTTTCCACTTCTGCTAGTGTTTACGCTGGGAGGTGGCAAGTGATGGCTCAAATAGTTGAGTCCCTGGCACACACATGAGAGGCCTGGATTGAGTTCCCAACTCCAAGCTCCAGCATTTGGGGAAGGAATGAGTGGATGGAAGATCTCTGCCTTTAAAATAGAGTAAGGGCCAACACTGTGGACCAGTGAGTCAAGCCACTGCTTGAAGTGTTGGCTTCCTATATGAGTGCCAGTTTCAGTCCCAGCTGTCCCACTTCCAATCCAGCTTCCTGCTAGTGCACCTAGGAAAGCAGTAGAGAATAGCTAAAGTATTTGGGCAATATCCCAATATAGTAAAGCTGACTTTGGCCTGACCCAGCCCTGGCCATTGCAGCTATTTAGGGAGTGAACACATGGATGGAAGATCTGTCTCTCCCTCAATCTGCTTTTCAAATAAATAAGTCTTTAAAATTAATTAATTGATTTAAAAAAACCAGGAAGGGGCCAGTCCTCTTTCCCTCCTGCCTCCCTCCAGGGCTCCCTATGGGAAGAGCCTAAGCAGTTGGCAGAGGAGAAGTGGTTTGCAAGATACTTAGGTTGTAGCTGAGACAAAGAACTTAAGCACTGGTATGTGGTCCAAACTTATTTTATGCCAAATAGTGAGGCATTGCTGAATGTTGGGAGAAGTTGTGATGCTGCTCTGCTTAAATTCTAATACCGGCCGGCGCCGCGGCTCACTAGGCTAATCCTCCGCCTAGCGGCGCAGGCACACCGGGTTCTAGTCCCGGTCAGGGCGCCGGATTCTGTCCCGGTTGCCCCTCTTCCAGGCCAGCTCTCTGCTGTGGCCCAGGAGTGCAGTGGAGGATGGCCCAGGTGCTTGGGCCCTGCACCCCATGGGAGACCAGGAAAAGCACCTGGCTCCTGGCTCCTGCCATCGGATCAGCGTGGTGCGCCGGCCGCAGCGCGCCGGCCGCGGCGGCCATTGGAGGGTGAACCAACGGCAAAGGAAGACCTTTCTCTCTGTCTCTCTCTCTCTCACTGTCCACTCTGCCTGTCAAAAAAAAAAAAAAAATTCTAATACCAGACCCCACTGGTGTGCTGACACTAATCGTCTGGAGTTAGTGCAGACCCCGTTACAAGGGCCTGGTCCACAGCAAGACTGTCCATCCTTTAGATCAGTCGGTTGGTAATGCAGGGAGTGCCCATGACCCCCCGAGCATGTGTTACAGAACTCAGGAGAGTTTGTGCTTGCTCTTACAGTTTTATTGTGAAGCATACAAGTCAGGAACAGAGAGGCACATAGGGTGAGATGTGATTACAGAGTCCCATGTCACCTGTTCATGGAACCAGCACATCAGTATATGAGCTAGGAAGCTCCACTGACTGCTTTAGTGTCCAGAGTTTTATTGAGGTTTCATTAAGCAGACACAGTTTATTTAATCATTGGCCACGAGGTGGAGCTCAGTCTCCAGGCCCTGTTCCCTCCCCAGAAATGCGGCTGGCTCAAAGCCCCTACCTTCTAAGCACGTGGTTATTCTTGGTGGTGACCAGACTCCATCCTGAGTCACTTCATCTCTTAAGCTCAAGTGTGATAAAGGGGCTCAAGGATAAGAAAGACACTTTACTTGGGGAATTCCAAAGGTTTAGTCTGTCTCCAAGAACTAGGGACAAAGACCAAATTCCTTATTTTTCAATAGCTCACAAAACCAAAGAAAAATATGATTAAATGGATAGCCAGGTACATTTGATGGAACACAGGTTCTCATTCCAAGTTTTAGAAGCACACGGGATAATAGAAAATTAGTTCTCAACCCTGAGCAGCCATCTACTAACACCAATAAACTAGTTTAGAACATCCATAAGTTATCTTTATTCCAAAACTTACTTTAATTTGAAGTTTAGGTTATCTACTTAAAAAATCATACCCAATGGTTATTAGTTTTCAGTCCAGTTTACAAGATTTAACAGTAGTAATAAGTTGCAATAGTAACTGGCATTTATTGAACTGGAAATCTGTTATATGCCAACATATTATTGTAGATACTAGGAAGTAGTAAGGATAATATGTTTGGGAAATGGAAGAAGGTGAGAACCCCAAGTCAAAAGCAACATTAAAAGACACTGTCAAACACCTGTAGAATCATAAAAACAGGTATGCAAACAGTCATTATATTCTTGATAAATATTCTAAGAAAAAACTGACCTCAGGATTAGGATTGTGGTAATAGTGTTGAACAGCGACTCAGTAACTTTGAACAGAGAAACACATCAAAGGCAGAACTCAGTGTATAAAACTGAGTAGATACAGGATTCAGCATAGAATGAGCATAAAACTAGAAAAAGTGGGGCAGGTGTTTGGCACAGCAGTTAAGTTGCTGCTTAGGGTGCTCACATCTCATATCAGAGCTCCTGGTTCTAGTCCTGGCTACTATTGTGTACCCTGGGAGACAGCAAATCATGGTTCAATTTCAATCACTTGGGTCCCTGCCACCTGTGTGGGAAACCTTGATGGAGTTCTAGGCTCCTGGCTTTGTCTTGGCCCAGTTCTTGCTGTTGTGAGAATTTGGAGAATGAACCAGCAGACGGAAGTTAGAAAAATGAATGGAAAAATCCTATTATGTATATATGTGGGTAAACCCTACTATAAAGTATAGATCACTGTTAATGTATTATTGCTATTTTTTTCTTAGAGCATGTATAATGTAGTAAAACTGTGATTCTTAACTTTGATTAGGTTTAATCGAAGTCCTTTTCAGAGTCCCTAAACATTGCTAGTCACGTGTGATAGAAAACAGCAGTTTGTTTATAAAAAAGATCTCATTGGCAAAGTGACTGGATTTTCTAACCATTACTTATTCTCACTGCCCAGGTTACCCTTTCCCTACTGCTCCTCCTGTGGATCCATTTGCCAAAATCAAAGTGGATGACTGTGGAAAAACTAAGGGATGCTTTAGGTTGGTAGAACCACAAATTGGATGACTTTAAGGCTAAGGAATTGATTTACTTCTCCAGGTAGTATTGCAATTGCATGCATAACTCCAGCGGGGCTGTAAAGTTTCCTAATGGCCACTCCAGTGTCCAGTGTTAAAGGCTCCTTAAAGAAGCACACACTAGACACTGGACCAGTCTCTGCTTCTTCGGCTGCTGGCTGTGCTGCCATTGGCCCAAGTGTGTCTACTCCTTCCCAAGTGTTTGTACATAGCAGGTTCACATGACATAGACTATGTCTGTGATTATTCACAAAGGGCTGTGGGACATAGTAGTGATAAATGTGTCTAATACCCAACCCCTTTCTCAATAGTCACATCTTGTGGCTATCTGTATGACACTAGGTAGTCACTAAGCGTGACTTTATCTTAACCAGCTTGTCATCTTGTGTGTGGTGTGTCCCCTTGATGATTACAAGTAGTGTTCTGCCAAGACAAGATGGGCTGGGGAAAGAAAACTGAGGTGTGGACAGCTGGCCTCCTGAGCGGGCTGCTCTGCTTTGTTGGACTTGACTTCCTGAAACAAATTGCCTCTGGGTCAAAGTTCCAATGGCCACAGCACTGATGTCCTACTTTTGCTGATGTTGTCAGCAATCAGGGTTTAAGGGGGAGAAATTGAAAACAGGGGCTTGGAACTTCCTTTGGATTACAAGGCCACATCAAAGGAATTTCAAATCCAACAATACTATTATCAAGGAAGATGAATGGCCACATGTGGTTCTGATGATAGGGAGATGTTTTGACAAGGGAAGGGAGTTCTGGTACCCTACTGGCTTCAGAAAGATTTGTTTTCTGGCCCATTCACTCTCCCCTTAGCTTCCTTTACCTCTTTTTATCGTTTTCATGCCAGTTCCAGGTTGCCTGAATCTTACATTTCTTCCCGGTGCCCAGGCTGTGTATGTCAGCATGGTAGCATTTGCCTGCCTCCCTCCTCAATCTCAGCTTCACTCCCTGGTGTGCTGTTCCTTCAGACATCTCCCATCTGAGCTGAGATTGTCTCAGCCATTGCTACAGTGTTCCATCATTCTGAAAATTGTGTAATGCAAGTGTTCCCAAATGAGGCTTTGCCAGTTATTAAAGGGTACACAAATCCTCCATAAGCAAATTGAAATTTGCATTTTCATTTCTGTGATGCTCTGTGAAAAGATGAGTATATGCTCAATGGACTATTTGGATAACCACCCTCTGTGCTTGTACATTTTAGTGTCTCAGTTTGTAATTGTAGTTGCTTCAAGTAGCCCGACAGAACAAAGGCAAATTTTATGAGTAAATGATTAGTATTATGTATTTATGTATTTATGCTGAGTGGCTATCAGATGTGGTATTCATTGGGTGCACTGTAGGAATGTGGGGTTTTCAGCAGTTCAAGCAGATAGAAGGAAGAGGATCGGACCTCCGTGCTATGTGGCCATTTGTAAGAACACACTCAGCTCCAACGTCTCTGCATGGCGCAGCTGGACACACCACGTGCACACAAGCAGAATTGTGCTTTGAGCAAAACCACATCATCCATCACATGAATGCTGTGTATTTCAAATTTCCTGTCTTTTTAAAGCTTAATTTATATTTAATTTGTAAATTTGTGTTAGTTTAACTGAGTGAAAATTTGTCAGCAAAAAGGGTTGATACACATTTAATCAACAAAAACAATTTATACTATTAACCCAGAGAATCTTTTTCTCTTCCTAAAAGAGATTAAGAAATAATTCAGTAATAACTAACATTTAAGAAATTAGTATAATGCAGGGAACACTGGCTGGGAGCAGAGAGACCCAGGTTCAAGTTCTGCTGCAGCCACCACTTTTAAAATCCAAGCCCCTTCCCCTTTGAGAATCTCAAATTTCTATGTATATAGTGTGGAGGGGCTCATCTCCAAGGCCCCTCCCAACTGAGTGGAACTGGAGTTTTGAGGTCCCAGTAGCAAAGATCTAGTTTATGTATTGTGTCACTTAGTTAACGGTGTTGCACCCTGCCTATGTATTTGGAATGAGCCGTGTCTTCCCTGCTGTGTCCTCTAGATATGGCAAACCAGGCTGTAATGCAGAGACCTGTGACTACTTCCTCAGCTACCGCATGATAGGGGCTGACGTGGAATTCGAGCTGAGTGCAGACACAGATGGCTGGGTAGCCGTGGGATTCTCTTCAGACAAGAAAATGGTAAGAGGCAAACAAATCGTGATGGGAACCAATTTTTCTCTTTAGTTTGCTGGGCTGCATTAGGCAAAGAAATCGCTGCAAGCAGAATAATGTTTGTATTATGGCTCTCTGATAACAAGTTGAAACAAATTCAAGCTAGCTGGAAGGGAAGGGTTGATTTTCTTTTCTTTTTCTTTTATGTAAGAGTCATTTATTTATTTGAAAGGCAGAATTACAGAGGCAGAGGCAGAAAGAGAGAGGGAGAGGTCTTCCATCCGTTGGTCTACTCCCCAAATGGCAGCAACTGCGGGAGCTAGGCCCATCCGAAGCCAGGAGCCAGGAGCTTCTTCCAGGTCTCCCACATGAGTGCAGGGGCCCAAGGACTTGGGCCACCCCCCTACACACACTGCTTTCCCAGGCCATAGCAGAGAGCTGGATGGGAAGAGGAGCAGCCAGGACTCAAACTGTCGCCATATGGGATGCTGGCACTGCAGGTGGTGGCCCCACCCGCTATGCCACAGCACCAGCCCCAGGGTTGATTTTCAGAAGACAAGGGGTCTTGTGGCACCCAGGTTCAGCAGCTACTTCCACAGTAATGCGGCAAGAAGAGCCCCCACGACTCTGTATAGGGATTTGTTTCTGGCGCCCGTGTGTGTGCATTGGCTGGGGTTCAGCTCACTTTAAGTGGGGCTCAGCTGGGCTTGGCGCCAGTCCATAGGTTGGATTCAGGTTTTCTTCAGAGTCTGGAACGAGCAGCTACCCAAGACATGTTCTTTTCCTGGCAGAGGCAGAAGTGAGGAGCTGCTATAAGAGGAAAACACAAACTGTGTTTCCTGTTTCCTCTCTACTCAGACACTCAGCACAGAATGCTTCTCTGACCAGATTTGGGGGAGTTGCCCAACGCAGCAGGGAATTCCCCAGCAGACGCCCGCTGAGTGCCGCCCTGTTCAATTCCTTCTGATGCGTCTTACCTGGAAATAGCGTCAGATCTCCCAGGTTGATGGCTCAGTCCCACTTCAGGTGCCAACGGCAAGACCCAGGTGGTTTTCACCTGTGCTTCTGCCCGACTGGCTGTGCATAGAGGGTCCCCTTGATCCCTCTTTGGTTGCAGTTAACTCTCTAGAGTAGCTCAGCAAACCCATGGAAACACTTTACTTACACTAACCCGTTTATTATGAAGATATTGTAAAGAATACTGATGAACAGCTAGATGGAAGAGATGCCTAAGGAGGTGTGAGGGCAGAGGCCCAGAGCTGCCAGCCATCTCTGGGGTACACCACCCTCCAGGGACTGAAGCCATGCTGAAGCTCAACTGAACCCTGTCCTTCTGAGTGTTTATGGAGTCTTCATGATGCCAGTGTGATTGATTAGATCATTGGCCATTGGTGATCAATTCTGCCTTCAGCACTTCCACCCTCTTGGAAATTGGGCAGTGGATATGAAAGTCCTGACCTTCTAATTATACCTTGGTTCTTCTGGTGACCAGACCCTATGGTGAAGCTGTCTGGGGGACTCCAGCCACCAGTCATCTCATTAGCATGCAGAAGATATTCCTGCTGTGCCAGAGATTGCAAGGGTAATAGGAGCTTATGTGCCAGGTACCAGGGGCAGAGGCTAAATATGTATTTCTTATCATATGACAGTCTCACAGCCACAGAAGCATGTTTGGAGCCTCTACTCATGTCATATCTGATGACATTCCATTGTGTGGACCAAGTCGCACAGCCAAGCCCAGGGTAAAAAGGCTGGGAAGTATATTCCCCCCACCAAGAGGCCCTGCTGAGGTGGGGCATATAATACCACAGGGAAGCAAAGAATGAGGTCCAGCAAATCAGTTTGCCATGATACCCGGGGGTAAGGGAACATCTGGCTCTCAGGAAGGACGTGGCCAGGAACAGGCTGCTGTGCCTCTCTGAATGCTGCTTTTCTTGGCATTCTTCCCCCTCTCTGCCAGGGCCCTGTCATCTGCTACTTCACTCATTGCACCAGGCTTCTTCCCAAATGGCCAGACTTTCTTAGGCCCCTGTGCCTTTGCACATGCTGCTGCTGCTGTCCAGAGGGCCCCTCCCCTTCCCTCTGCCTAGGCTTCTTTGAGGCCTGTGCTGTGGTTCAAGTAAGAGAAGGACAGCTCAGACCGCGTGGACCGCTGGGTGGTGACAGTCAGCAGGGTTCAGATTCAGGGTGTGTTTTGAAACTAAAACTGACAGAATTTACTAAGAGATTAGATACAGGCTGTAGGTGGGTGATGGGAGGAGAATGAGGGAGCCGCCCAGGCAGCCAGCCATTCTGGTGGCTTTGTTCTTGGACAGTCACCAGGAGAATGAGCCACCACCAATTCCCAGTCCAGGCAGGGAGCTGCAGGAACAACTGGGAGGAGTGCTGGCTATGCATCTGCAGGGTGCATCTCCTACTGTGGCGTCACTAGGAAAGACAGCAGGTGGGATGAAAGGAAGCCGGCTCCCAGCGAAAGTGAGTGCGTGCGGCCTGACCTGCAGTAGTGCATTTGCACCCCTGTGGGGCTCGGAGGAGTGAGATGAGTGAGGAGCGTGGTGTTCTGTGTTGCATCGTCTACTGTCTAAAAGCCTTCAACACGTCCCCTGTGATGTGCTCTGTGAAAGCAGAGGTCTCTTCTGTCATTCCTAGAAAAAACACAGTTTGCATTAAAAAAAAAAAAAGATACACAGGAAAGGCAGAGTGGATTTCTTTTTAAATAAACATTAGATTTTTTTATGTTTTAGAGTGGTTTTAGGTTTACAGAAAAATGGAGAAGGTACACAGATTTCCCATGTACCCCTGAGTACCCCTCTCATTATCAACCCACCCCCACAGAATGGTACATCTGTTCCATTTGATGAATGCCTTTATGTCTTGTAACATGTTTTGTTTTCCAGATTTATTTATTTTGAGAGAGAGAGAGAGAGAGAGAGAGATCAACTTTCCATCCGCTGGTTCACTCCCCAGATGTCCATAATAGCCAGTACTGGGCCAGACCAAAGCCAGGAACCAGGAGCTTCATCTGGTAGCAGGGGCCCAAGTACTAGTACTCTACTGCTTTTCCCAGGTGGATTGGAAGTGGAGCAGCTGGGACCCAAAGATGTGCCCATATGGCATGCCAGTGTCTCAGACAGTGGCTTTATCTGCCACACCACAACCCCAGCTCCTATAACTTGTTGCTTTGAAAAAAAAAATTAAATCTGCACATTAGTGAAAACAATTAAAACCTACATATCTGTAAGGGTAGTTTAAGAAACTCATATATGTGAGTATATCATTTTATGTACAAGGACGAGCATAGGGGCCAGCCTTGTGATGCAGTCAGTGCAGCTGCTGCCTGTGATCCCAGCATCTCCTGTGAGCACCATTGGGAGTCCTGGCTGCTTCACTTCCTATCCCCCTCCATGCTGACGTGCCTGGGACGCAACAGGGGATAGCCCAGGTACTTGGATCGCTGCCACCCACATGGGAGACAGGGATGGAATTCCTGGCTCCTGTTTTCAGCCTGGCCGTTCTTTCCATTTGGGGAATGAACCAGCAAATGGAAGAGCCCTCTCTCTCTCTCTGTCACCGCTGGCTTTCAAATAAATAAATAAATCTTTTTTTTTTAAAGAAAAGCATGTGTATGAGTACATATGTGTATATATGCTTCACTTAGATTCACCAAATGATAACTTTTTTATTGTGGTAAAATGCACATCAGCTACAGTTTACCATTTTACCCATTTTAAAGTACACAATTCAGTGATATGATTACATTCCATGTTGTACAGCCATCACCACTCCAAATTAATCACATTTTGTCACACATAGATTAATCCGTTTCTACTGCCACCACTATTACTATTCTTATAGTTTCCTGGAAACTTCACATTTAAATTGCAGAGATTGTGACTTTTTAAAAAAGATTTATTTATTTATTTATTTATTTGAAAGTCAGAATTACACAGAGAAGGAGAGGCAGAGAGAGAGAGAGAGAGAGAGAGAGAGAGAGAGAGAGAGAGAGAGATCTTCCATTTGCTGGTTCACTCTTCAGTTGGCCCCAGTTGGAGGTGCACCAATCTGAAGCCAGGAGCCAGGAGTCTCCTCCAGGTCTCCCACGTGGGTGCAGGGGCCCAAGGACTTGGCCCATCTTCTACTGCTTTCCCAGGCCATAGCAGAGAGCTGGATCAGAAGTAGAGCTGCTGGGACTCAAACCGGTGCCTATATGGGATGCGGACACCGCAGGCAGCAGCTTTACCCACTATGCCACAGCACCAGCCCTGAGATCATGAATTTTAACCCTAAAAATTTCAGTGGGCATCTCCTAACATTAAAGACCCTTTCTCATTAAAGTCTACAATTAAATTCAGGAAGCTCAACGTTGGCTTGATAGTATTGTCGAATGTATTATCTTCAGATGCTACCAGCTGTCCCAATACTGTTCTCCAGAGAACTTTTAATTTTATGCCCAGGATTTGTCCAGGAATTTGGTTGTCATGTTTCTTTTGTCAACTTTTTGAGAAACAGTTTCTTAACCTTTTAAAATAATTAATTAGTGAACTTATTTTGGGGTTCTTCCATGATGTTGACCTGTTTGAAGATTACAAACCAGTTTTGTTGTTGTTTATGTTTTTTAGTAGAAGGACCTTTGATTTGAGTTTGTTTGATTGATTTTGCATGATTAGGATGGTTTATGTATTTTTGGCAGGAATACTACACAGGTGGTGATGTGTTCTTCCCATATTACATCACAAAGCTTTTTTTTTTTTTTTTTTTTTGACAGGCAGAGTGGACAGTGAGAGAGAGAGACAGAGAGAAAGGTCTTCCTTTGCCGTTGGTTCACCCTCCAATGGCCGCCGCGGCTGGCACGCTGCGGCCAGCGCACCGCGCTGATCCGATGGCAGGAGCCAGGTGCTTCTCCTGGTCTCCCACAGGGTGCAGGGCCCAAGCACCTGGGCCATCCTCCACTGCACTCCCTGGCCACAGCAGAGGGCTGGCCTGGAAGAGGGGCAACCGGGACAGAATCCGGCGCCCCGACCGGGACTAGAACCCGGTGTGCTGGCGCCGCTAGGCAGAGGATTAGCCTAGTGAGCCGCGGCGCCGGCCATCACAAAGCTTTTTGAGATCAGCTACTGTGGTCTTATATAATCTCTTGGTTAAGACTTGTAGATGGCATTTAAAATATTTTTTGATGAGATTTCAACTTACAGAGGTGATAACGTGTGCATTTCTGAGTGAAAATTTACCAAAGACAAACCTTTTTCTTTCTTCTAAACCGTCTCTCACGTCAGGGTGGTGATGATGTCATGGCCTGTGTCCACGACGACAATGGTAGGGTCCGCATCCAGCACTTCTACAATGTAGGCCAGTGGGCCAAGGAGATCCAGAGGAATCCGGCCCGAGATGAAGAGGGCGTCTTTGAGAACAATCGTGTTACCTGCAGGTTTAAACGCCCTGTGAATGTTCCCAGAGACGAGACAATCGTGGATCTGCACTTGAGCTGGTATTACCTGTTTGCCTGGGGTCCAGCCATTCAGGGTAAGCTGAGATGTTAGCATTAGATTAAACACAAGTTACCACCGTGCCTGCATTCGTTATTACTCGAGGTCGCAGTGAGTGAGCCAGAGAGCAGTAAGCACTCCAGGTAATATAAAGGGAAAAGGAGATGTGATTCCTATTTTCAGCAGGTTGTAGTGGACTTAGGCACGTGAAAAACAAGCCGATGAGTTAGACAGAAAGCTAGAGCAGTATGAGACCGTGGATGGTGAGTTATATGCTCAATGAAATAGACCGGGCGTGTGTGACGTGTGAGGTCTGAGCTCTCATTCTCACCACATCCTTGAGAGGTACGGATATTATTATCCTCATTCTAGAAAAAGTATGAAACTTGTTCAAAGCTGCACAACTAATTAAGGGAAGAGCTGAGACGCAATCCTGGGTGTGTCTGACTCGAAGGCAGTGACTACTCTTCACTGGTCTCCTCTAAAGAGAAAAGCACTGAGCAAGAAAGGGCTTCTGGAGGCTTCTCTGGAGATTGACACAAGCTTTGCATGAGCTCCCCACTTAGGACTTTCTAGCAAATTACCCTGTAATTCAGCCCATTTCTCCTCAGATTCCGATATGCAGAGGAATTAAACTGGCTATCCTGTTGAAATGTAGTTTTCTGCAGGTGTAGGGTGGGACCTGAGCTTCTGCATTTCTAGCAGGCTCCCTGGTGATGCTGGTCCCCAACAAAGACCCCAGGGTATCTTGAGATCCCTGCGAGATGCTAAAATCCAGTTCTGCTGTGTTTTGAGTGTTCTTCCTGGTTGATGAGCCTGCTGCCTGAGCAAGAATGGAAGTGCGTTTGATTTGTAGTCCTGGTTCCGAGAACTCTTTCTGCCTCCTGGCAGTTGCATCTTTCTTTACTGAGGACTCAGCCACTGTTTACTGCCTCATTTGATCTGGAGCTTTGCCTTTCCATTTGTTTCCATTTATCCGTCTGGAGCTCAATGATCTACCCTTTTGGCCTGATGCCAGCTGGGAAAACACTTGGATGAATCCAGATTTGGAATACCTTTTCCATTGACTGATTTTCCCAGATTGCTGACCATAGATCTGCTATGATATATTTTTAAAGATTTATTTATGTATTACTATTTGCAAGGCAGAGTTAGCGAGAGAAAGAGAGAGGGAGGGAGAGAGATATCTTCCATCCTCTGGATCACTGCCCAAATGGCTGCAACTGCCAGAGCTGGGCTGATCTGAAGCCAGGAGCCTCTTCCTGCCCTCTCATATGGTGCAGGGGTCCAAGTACTTGAACCCTCTTCTGATCCAGCTCCACTTCTGATCCAGCTCTCTGCTGTGGCCTGGGAAAGCAGTAGAAGATGGCCCAAGTCCTTGGGCCCCTGCACCCACGTGGGAGACCTGCAAGAAGCTCCTGGCTCCTGGCTTTGGATAAGTCTTTAAATTGTATCTCACCCTGGAGAAGTGAACTCATTTAAAATGATGGCATTTGGAGATTAGCATTTTGAGCTTGGGTTTTGGTTCTGCCCCTTGGTAGCCGTATAATATTTAGGCTGCTATCTAAATTCTAAACTCCATTTCCTTGTATCTAAAATTGGAATAATACCTACTTCATAGGATTATTGTACAAATAAAATGAAAATGAGGATGTGAAATTGCTTTACAAATTAGAAAGTACATTAAAGTAGTCCTCCCTTCTCAGAAGAAGATATGGTTCTAAGACCCCCCCAGTGGATGCCTGAAGCCCTATATATTCTATAATTTTTCCTATAATAACATTTAATTATAATTAGGCATGGAAAGAGATGAAGAATAATGCCTAATAATAAAACAGAACTAGTATAACTATATACTGCAAGAAAAGTTATGTGAAAGAGCTTGCAAACTCCTCCTCCTCTCCTCCTCCTCCTCCTCCTCCTCCTCCTCCTCCTCCTCCTCCTCCTCCTCCTCCTCCTCCTCCTCCTCCTCCTCCTCCTCCTCCTCCTCCTCCTCCTCCTCCTCCTCCTCCTCCTCCTCCTCCTCCTCCTCCTCCTCCTCCTCCTCCTCCTCCTCCTCCTCCTCCTCCTCCTCCTCCTCCTCCTCCTCCTCCTCCTCCTCCTCCTCCTCCTCCTCCTCCTCCTCCTCCTCCTCCTTCTTCTTCTTCTTCTTCTTCTTCTTCTTCTTTTCTCTCTCTCTCTCTCTCTCTCTCCTCAAAATATCTTACTGTCCTGTATTTTTGGACTGTGGTTGACTGTGGGTGATAGAAACCATATGAAGCATAACCACAGATACCAGAAGACCACTGTATTTTCAGAAGATCATATATTTTTTTAAAGATTTATTTATTTTCTTTGAAAGTCAAATTTACAAAGAGAGAAGGAGAGACAGAGAGAGAGAGAGAGGTCTTCCATCCATTGGTTCATTCCCCAGTTGGCTGCAATGGCCAGAACTGCGCCGATCTGTAGCCAGGAGCCAGGAGCTTCTTCTGGGTTTCCATGCGAGTGCAGGGGCCCAAGCACTTGGGCCATCTTCCACTGCTTTCCCAGTATAGAAGAGAGCTGGATCAGAAGTGGAGCAGCCAGGACTTGAACTGGCGCCCATATGGGATGCCAGCGCTGCAGGTGGTGGCTTAACCCACTAGGCCACAGTGCCGGCCCCAGAAGGTCATCTTGTGTACATATATGGCATCCTGGCCTGACGTTCAAAATGCTCTCCAACTCTGATCTGGTTTCACCTGATAAGCTCTCTTGACACCTATTCTTCTTCTTCTTCTTCTTCTTCTTCTTCTTCTTCTTCTTTTTTTTTTTTTTTTTTTTTTTTTGACAGGCAGAGTGGACAGTGAGAGAGAGAGACAGAGAGAAAGGTCTTCCTTTGCCATTAGTTCACCCTCCAATGGCCGGCACGGCCGGCACACCACGCTGATCTGAAGGCAGGAGCCAGGTGTTTCTCCTGGTCTCCCATGGGGTGCAGGGCCCAAGCACTTGGGCCATCCTCCACTGCACTCCCTGGCCACAGCAGAGAGCTGGCCTGGAAGAGGGGCAACTGGGACAGAATCCGGCGCCCCGGTAGGGACTAGAACCCGGTGTGCCGGCACCGCAAGGCGGAGGATTAGCCTATTGAGCCATGGCGCCGGCTGACACCTATTATTCTTTCCACTCTCTTCAAGCAAAACAAGCATGTTCCTACCCCACTTACAGGCTTGTGCCTTTCTTGTCTCTGGAATGTCCATCTATACTCACTTCATTCTTTTAAATGGGGATAAACTTTGGGCTAAAACTTAAATGGAAGCATGGGACTCCATTTCTTCCAAGGCAGGAGTCTTCTGTAGGTACCTGGTTACATCTAGGAGCTCATAGAGGTGACCAATGAGATGAGATTAGGTGGGAGTGTTGGTGGGACCTGCTGACACAGAATCTCTGCACCAGCTTGAGGGTTTAGGTTTATGTTAGTTAACAGGAGGGACTTGACTTGCTTCCCTAGCAGATAGTCCCTTACACAGCCTTACTCTGTACCCTGCTCCTAAAGAGAGCTTTGCACTGAATTCATATACCTAAGCCTCCCTAGTTCACGTTTCAGGTGGACTGTTCAGGACATCAGCCTTGTAAGCTTCCTTTATATACAGCTTTCCCCTTTGTGCTGGTAACCAGGTCAGTTTCCCATCCAGAGACTTGCTTGCTGTCTTAATCATCCTACTTTCCCTGCTGTTCTACCCTACTCTGCCAGACAGACGCAGACACAGACACATGCCCAGCCTGTGCCACTCCCCCACCCCTGCCCAGACCTGGCCTGAGCCGTGGACGTGTCATGTCCCACAAGCAATGACAGAGGGCTTCCGTTTGTAAGGCACACATTGGCAAGAGTTGTTGTTTTGCCATTTGTAAAAGGTTGGGGCCGGTGCTGTGGGGCAGCAGGTTGATGACCTGGCCTGAAGCGCCAGCATCCCATATGGGCGCTGGTTCTAGTCCTGGCTGCTCCTCTTCTGATCCAGCTCTCTGCTATGGCCTGGAAAAGCAGTACAAGATGACCCAAGTCCTTGGGCCCCTGCACCTGTGTGGGAGACCAGGAAGAAGCTCCTGGCTCCTGGCTTCGGATTGGCACAGCTCGGGCCATTGTAGCCAATTAAGGAGTGAACCATCGATGGAGGATCTCTCTTTCTGTCTCTAACACTCTCTGTAACTCTGTCTTTCAAATAAATAAAATAATAAATATTTTAAAAAGGTAGATTTGAAGGAAAAGATTAGTAGCTTTTGCTGTTTGAAGTCTATTTTTGACATTAAGAGTAAGCATTCATACAATATTAGCTGAGTAGCAGTTTTAAAACTGGGGTGCCATGGGGAGACCAATAGATTATTATGACAGAGTGTATAGATGAATGGGAACTAGTCTTCTGCGGTAAATTTAACTAATTTTTGTGTTCTTCTTTATCTGTGCAATTACAGGGAATTCTGATAGTAACGTTATCTAATACCTGATTCCATGTATTTGTAGTCACTGCCTCTATCACCTGATCACTGCTATGTGTTCAGTACTTACGACTTTTCTGTGGTTTTTCTGTTATTTGCCTATGCCACCTTAAATCTGTACTTTTTTTATTGCTTCCTTCGCTTCTATTTCTTTCTTACAGGCTCTATCACACGACACGATATAGACTCACCTCCAGCTTCAGAGCGTGTTGTCAGTATTTACAAATATGAAGACATTTTCATGCCATCAGCTGCCTATCAGACCTTCTCATCTCCATTCTGTTTGCTTCTCATTGTCGCCCTGACCTTCTACTTACTGATGGGAACCCCTTAACCACAGCTACAAGGCCAACAGAGTAAATGGATTGGAACGTCTTTGGTAGAAAAGTATTTTTAAAGAATATCCAATATAATCTCAGCTTCTGTTATTTGGCCAACACCTTGAATGACTGCAGCTTTTTGGAAGAAGGGATAAGCTTCTTTTCCAGTTAAAGAGGATTGTTTCACAGTGACCCCATGCTTTTGAAAGTACTTACAACTTTTCCAAGCACTTTCAGCTAACGTTTTCTTAAGTGAGTTTCACCGCTTGATGAAAATTACTTTTGCCATCTTACTCAATGGAATGTGAGACCCAGAAAGGCTGCTTGTTCACACGGCTTCTTGGTCACCTAACACACACCAAGGTCGAGAAAGAGCTGGACTCAGGAATCTCGTGTCCAGTCTTGACTGAGTACTACAGTGTGAGAGAGGTACTTGGAGTGTTGCTAGGGGAAATTCCACTGGGTGTCACAAGTTCACAGTCAGCCTTTTGGGCAGCAGTTTCAGATTTCCATAAAGCATAAGTGCTTTTGGCTATATACACAGATGATGCGGGGGAGGGGAAGATTATAGTGATATTAAAATGATTCCTATTTATTTGAAAGTCCTTCTCTAATAGTGAGTAGCACTTTATTGCTGTTCAGAAAGGTCAGAAACAGAACTACATATGTTCCTGAAGATGTGAAATTATGTTAATAATTTTTAAAAAGTTGGGACTTTTAACTGGATTTGGACTCTTCTACCACTGTATTCTTTTTTTTTTTTTTTAAGATTATTTATTTGAAAGGCAGAATTACAGAGAGAAGGAGAGACAGAGATCTTCCATCTGCTGTTCACTCCCCAAATGGCCACAATGACCAGGGCTGGGCAAGGCTGAAACCAGGAGCCAGGAGCTCCTTGCAGGTCTCCCACATAAGTGGGGGGCCTAAGCACTTGGGCCATCTTTCACTGCTTTTCCCAGGTCACTAACAGGGATCTGGATTGGAAGTGCAGCAGTATGGGGTTCTGACATGGAAGGTGGCGGATTAGCCCACTGCACTACAACTCCGGCCCCAACCACTGTATTTTATAAACTATAGTTTGCATTTGTGGTTACATCCAATTCTTTTTTTTTTTTTTAAAGATTTATTTATTTGAAAGTTAGAGTTACAGGTATGGAGGCGGGGAAAGAGAAAGGGAGAGAGAGATCTTCCATCTGTTGGTTCACTCCCCAAATGGCTGCAATTGTCAGGGCAGCACCAAGCTGAAGCCAGGAGCCAGGAATCTCTTCCAGGTCTCCCATGTGGGTGGCAGGGGCCCAAGCACTTGGACCATCTTCCTCTGCTTTTCCAGGCACATTAGCAGGGAGCTGGATCAGAAGTGGAGCAGCCAGGATGCAAACTGGCGCCCATATGGGATGACAGCATTGCAAGTGGTAGCTTTACCCACTATGCCACAGTCCAGTCCCTACACCAAATTCTGTTTTCAGAGTCAGCATAATGTTAAATATGATTGAATATGATAAATCATCTTCATAAAAGTAATTCATTTTAAAAATAAATCAGCATTTTTTGAGACTATAGAGATTTGGAGTAGAAATTTTATTAAGACTATTTTTTTTAATTACAAAAAGGGGATATGACCTTGAAATGAATTTACCTAGAGTGTCCATTCACAGTGTTCAGACTTGTAAAGTGAACTAGCAGTCAGCACAATTCATACCAGTGCTTTGATATAATGCATTTGCTTTTTCCAAAGGAGCCCAAATACTCTGTTGTTCCAGATGTCTGTGCTAACAGCCCCTGAGGAGAGGTACCCATGAGTATAGTCACATGGCCGAGGCACTGCCATTGTGGCTTCTATAATTCTCTGGCTTGCCCCATTGCTTTCAAGCTGGATTCAACTCCATGATTTTTGTGATGAAAGAATAGTGAGGACTGGGATTTTTTTTCCATTTTCTGGAAATCTTTAATTCTGTTTAAAAAATGTTTTTAATTTTAATTTTTAATTAGTTTTTAACAGCTTCGATGTGATTTGTAGATATAATTCTAAGAACATAATTGATTTCTTTTTTAATTTTTTTAAAAGATCTATTATTTATTTGAAAGGCAGAGTGAGAGAGGGAGAGAGAGAGACAGAGAGAGATTTCCCACCCACTGGTTCATTCTCCAAATGCCAACAACAGATGGGGCTGGACCAGGCCAAAGCCAGGAGCCAAGGACCCTTTCTGGGTCTCCCATGTGGACAGCAGGGACCCAAGTACCTTGGCCATCACCCACTGCCTCCCAAATGCATTAGCAGGAAGCTGGAGCAGAAACCCAGAGGAGTCTGGACTTGAACCAGGCACTCCAGTGTGGGATGTGGGTGTCCCAGGCTGAGATTTAACCCGCTGCGCCACGAGCCTGCCCCATGGAGACTGACTTCTAATGCCATGCTTGAGAATCATGTCAGAAGTGAGTGTTCTCCTGTGGGGAGAGCTTTCAAATTTTTCTGGACCTGACCCAAAATAAGAAAACCAACACTGCTTTGTGACATTGCACAGTTGCCAAGTGCTTCTGAGGGTGGTAGAAATACTCCTCATTGCAGATGGTGAGATTCAGTAACATCGGTGAGTGATGGGACTCATGTCGTCAGGTTCAAGTCTGTGGTTCCACCTGACTCCCATTGCCTCTCCACTAGGCGCCCTGGGTATGACTGAGTATGACCTGTGTATCGCCTTCTCACCTATCCTGGCTGTTTAGAGTGAAGATATGTGGTATGCAGCCACCCGCATTGTAAATAAGAAAGCAGATATTTTTGTATTTTACTCTTTTATGTGTATAATATATGCTATAAATAGGTTAAAAGAGCGACTTCAGCTAGTAGCAGGCAGGGGAAGCAATATATGAATGGAGTTTCCTTCTGCTTGTATTTCAAATCAAGCTTATTATTTTCATATAGTTGTTTCTAATTTGATTACCAGCTTTGCATGCTTAGAACTTTTGTTGACTTCTTAATTCTATTAAGGTGAAATGTAAACCATTTAAACAGGTTTTTTTTTTTAAACATTTATTTATTTGAAAGTCAGAGTTACAGAGACAGAGGGAGTGACGGAGAGAGAGAGAGAGAACTCTTCTATCTCTCTGGTTTGCTCCCAGATGGCTGCTATGGCCTGGGGTGAGCCAAGCCGAAGCCAGGAGCTAGAAACTCCATCTGGGTCTGCCACGTGGATGGCAGGTACCCAGACACTTTTACCCTCTTCCATGTTTTCCCCAGGCCATTAGAAGGGAACTGGATCAGAAGTAGAGCAGCCAGGACATGAACTGGGATGCTGGCATCGTAGGTGGCAGCAGTACACACTATGCCATAATGCTGGCCCCAATTTAAACAATTTTTAAAATGTGTTTGAGAGAGAGAGACAGACAAACAGAGAGAGTTTCCATCCACTAGTTCACTCCCAAATGCCTGCAAGGGCTGGAGCTGGGCCAGGTTAAAGCAGGAAGCTGGGAATTCCATCTGGGTCTCCCACATGAGTGGTAGAGACCTAACTACTTGAGCCATCACCTGCTGCTTCCCAGAGCGTGCATCAACAGGAAGCCAGAATTGGGAGCAGAGCTGGGATTTAGACACAGGTGCTCCAATGTCGGATGTAGGTGGCCCAGCAGCATCTTAACCACTGAGCTAAACCCCAGCCCCTTGCAAACCATTTTGATGGTCTCCAGTGCCATCTTTTACTGCCTGTCCTCACCTGCTGTGTCCCAGCAAGGCTAAAGGGCCCTCGCTTCTTCAGACCTGCTCCCTCTCCCCTCTCATTGTGTTCCCTGTGTTTGAACAGTTCTCTTCTTCCTGTGCTGAATGAACTCCTATTCATCTTTGAGGTCACAGCTTAAATATTGCATCCTCCAGCGCCTGGGACTGTGTAAGTTCAGGTCACTGATAAGTGTTCCCATAGCACACTGGGCTCTTCCTCATACGTCACTATAACCACTGTCTCATCTTCCCTCCTAATTCCCTAGTGCAGGGACTGCGTCTTAATCCTCATCACTGTAGCCAACACTTCTCTAAAGTAGGGACTCAGCAAACATTTGTGGAATAAATAAATAGATGAGGGTATCTTTCTAGCACAAGTGTGTTTGCTTCAGAAGGCTTGTATCTCATATACATTACCAAACTTACCAACATTTTTTTTTTTAATAATTTGAGAAGCAGAGAGAGCTCCTATCTACTGGTTCATTGCCCAAATACCTACAATGGCTGAGAGTAGGCCTGGGTTGAAGCCAGGAGTGGGGAACTCAATCCCAGTCTCCCACTTTAGTGGCAGAAACCCAACTGCTGCGATCTGAACTGCCATCTTAACTTCTAGACCAAATGTCCATCGCTGGCCAACATTTTTATGTTCTTCCACCTGTGATCAAACCATACAGCAGTCTTTCAGCCAACACTGAACTTTGTCTTTTGAAACGTAGATTCTCAGCAACATACAGTTTTGTCTGCAGTCGACATGTGTTGGCATTTTTAATAGAAATAGCTGTTCAGAAGTAAGAGTCTGCAGACCAAGGATGTGGAACAGTGTGTGACCATCATCTCAGAGAATCATCAGTTGAGAGACATGCTGAAGTTAGAATTCTATAGATGTAAATTCCATTCATTCCTCTCTAACAGAAGAGAATCATCTTGTCTTTTACTTCTACATTCCCATTTTCGGTTATAGTACTTGTCACAAAGGGACAGGCCCATCCGGCATGTTTTACAAAATGCCTAAACAGAAAAATAATCATGCTAGCAAAAACGATTTAGTGCTGTTCTAAGCACTATATATGTGTTAACTCATTTACTCTCACAGCAATGATAGATTCTGTTATTAACCAGTTTTTTTTTTTTTTTTTTTTTTGACAGGCAGAGTTAGACAGTGAGAGAGAGAGACAGAGAGAAAAGTCTTCCTTTTTCTGTTGGTTCACCCCCCAAGTGGCCACTACGGCCGGTGCGTTGTGGCCGGTGCGCCGATCCAAAGCCAGGAGCCAGGTGCTTCCTCCTGGTCTCCCATGTGGGTGCAGGGCCCAAGGACCTGGGCCATCCTCCACTGCACTCCTGGGCCACAGCAGAGAGCTGGACTGGAAGAGGGGCAACCGGGACAGAATCTGGCGCCCTGGTTGGGTCTAGAACCCGGTGTGCCAGCGCCGCAGGTGGAAGATTAGCCTAGTGAGCTGCGGTGCCAGCCTATTAATCCAGTTTTACAGATGGAAAAACTGAGTGTAGTCACTTGGCATAGATTATTAGTGCAGCAAAGAGTTGAGAGACCATTGAATCCTCTGCACTTATTTTCCAAGGTGGGCAGCAGAGGCCAAGGAAGGTGATATTATTTCCTATCCTTTCATGTATCTTCATGTCTTCATGCATGTTCATTAGAAATTTTATTACATGGAACCCATTGTCCATACTGATTTTAGCTAGGTACAATCTACCCCATTTTAGTTATTTACAATGGATGGGAGAACTTCCTATTGTCATATCTGGGGAAAGTAGCACTTTTTCTTTTTGGTATCTGCTTTGCTGTTTAAAAACATTTTTTGTTTTAAAGATTTATTTTATTTATTTGAAAGTCAGAGTTACACAGAGAGAGGAAAGGCAGAGAGAGAGGTCTTGCATCCGTTGGTTCACTCCCCAGATGGCCACAACGGTCGGAGCTGTGCCGATCCGAAGCCAAGAGCCTGGAGATTCTTCTGGCTCTCCCACGTGGGCACAGGGACCCAAGGACTTGGGCCAGCCTGTACTGCTTTCCCAGGCCACAGCAGAGAGCTGGACTGGAAGAGGAGCAGCCGGACTAGAACCGGCGCCCATATGAGATGCTGGCGCTTCAGGCCAGGGCTTTAACCCACTGCGCCACAGCACCGGCCCCTAAAAACATTTTGATTCTTTATTTTACCAGTCATTTTAGTGCTTTTCGTAGACTTCACTTTTAATTGTGTGCAGATTTGGGGCCAGGATTGTTGTGCTATGGGTTGAGCTGCTACCTACAATGCTGGCACCTCTTAAGAGCAACATTTTGTGTCCTGGTTGTATCATTTCTTATCCAGCTCCCTGCTGATATGCCTGGGAGAGCAGAAGAAGATGGCTCAAGTATCTACGTGGGAGACCCAGGTGTTTTTCCAGGTTGCTGGTTTCAGCCTGGCCCAGCCCCTGCTATTGCAGCCATGTGGGGAGTAAGCTAGCGAATGGAAGATCTCTGTCTCGCCCTCTCTGTGTAACTCTAATAAATAGATAAATAAATCTTTTAGAAAATAGTATGCAGTTTGGTCAAGACTCTAAGCATGTATTTGAGTTGATTTTGAAAGTGACTTGCATAAAACGAGTGTCTTCTAACTTGGAACACTGCTATGCTGTCTGATCGTTCCATCTGAAGGGTGAAAGTATCAATGTGATTTCAGACAGAAGGCAAGAGCTATATTTAATTATCTTAAGTTGGCCTTTGTTGTTAAAAAAATCAAAAAGTTTGGACAACTCAGATGATATTTACTGTCATTTACTATACCATTTCGGGTGATATTTACCACTATTTCTGGAACTCAGTTTAATGGCTGTAGGATTTTATGCTAGCCCAGAGGCTGACAAACTTTCTCTGTAAAGGTTAGATGGTAATCATTTTAGGTACAGCTGTTTGACACAGCCAAAATAGTGCCTAAGTGTTCCAATAAAATGTGACACTGAAATTTGAATTTAATAGAACTTTCACATGTCACAAATACTCATCTTCTGGATTTTTAAAATTTTAATCTTTAAAGATTTATTAATTTGAAATGCAGAACAACAGAAAGAGAGAGAGAAAGATGAATGTATCTGCTAGTTCACTCCCTAAATGGCTGTGACAGCTGTGTCTGAACCAGGCAGAAGCCAGGAGCTGGGAACGCCATCCTCGTGGTCCCATATGAATGGCAGGGGCCCATGTGCTTGGACCATCTTTCATTGCCTCCCCAGGCACATTAACAGGAAGCTGGATCAGAAGCAGTGGTGCTGGGACTCAAATCCGTGCTCCTGTATGGTGGTTTAACCTGCTGTGCCACAAAGCTGGCCCTCCTCTGGTTTTGTTTTTGTTTTGTTTAGTTTATGCCAATTAAAAATGCAGAACCCACGCATAGCTTGTGCGCCACATGGAAACTGGAAGCAGGCTGAGTTTGGCTCCCGCACTGTGGTTTTCCCATCCTCTTTCTGGGATGGGGACATACTAGTGTATCACTGTCAACTATAAAGTGCACTGCCAGAAATGTAACACCGGTAAATTTGTAAAAGTGTGAAGGCCGGCGGATACTTGTTTTAAGATGAATTCTGCCGGCGCCGCGGCTCACTAGGCTAATCCTCCACCTTGCTGCGCCGGCACACCGGGTTCTAGTCCCGGTCGGGGCGCTGGATTCTGTCCCGGTTGCCCCTCTTCCAGACCAGCTCTCTGCTGTGGCCAGGGAGTGCAGTGGAGGATGGCCCAAGTGCTAGGGTCCTGCCCCCCATGGGAGACCAGGATAATTACCTGGCTCCTGCCATCGGATCAGCGCGGTGCGCCAGCCGCGGCGGCCATTAGAGGGTGAACCAACGGCAAAGGAAGACCTTTCTCTCTGCTCTCTGTCTCTCTCTCTCACTGTCCACTCTGCCTGTCCAAAAAAAAAAAAAAAAAAAAAGATGAATTCTGATTGACTTGTTGCTATAAATAGTCTTCCTATGTACTTACATTCTACTTTCTGGAGGTGATGTGAAAGACGTGGCAGTAAAAAGCGCAGAGCTAGGGAAGTAGCTGTTTCCTTTGATCTAAGCTGTAGTGATATGAACTTGATTGCTGGGCTGCTCTTCATGCCAAGGATTTTGCTGCTTCGGAGTGAGTGATTCCCCTGTAGAAACTGTTTGGAGTTTTATCAGAATCTGCTGCACTGTCCATGTGATGCTGGGGATCTCCCTGCTGTATCAGGGTGGAAAAGTATTTGAAAACCTCTGTACCAGGCCAGATGCTGAGATGTGTATATTTTGTTGTTGTATATAATTATATATCGCTGTTCTCTTAACAGAATTGTTTAGTGAACAGTCTGACTGTACTCAGTGTGTTTATATATATGTATATACACATTTGTGCATACATGATGGCATGTGTGTTTACCCGTGAATGCCTACTATGTATACATTCCAAGAGCATTTGGAGCTCTTCATCATGATTTTTTCTGTTTCTAATCTCTTGACTACTTTAAAACCCAAGAGATAGAACCTTGCGAATATCCCAGGCAAAACTATCCTTGAGTTTATAGCAATTTAGTTTGTAGAAAGGATTCTTGGATCTTTTATTAAGCCTTGCCTCCTCCATTCAGCATTAGATGAATTGGTAGGAATATAGAGAATATCATTGTTGAATTGGACTTTTCTACACTGTTAGTTAAGAACCCAACACTAGTGTTATCTGAGTAGCTGGCATGTTAATGCAACCTATACATGTTTTGCATTTAGTTAGATTTCTTATTCAGTATTCAATCAGCAAATTATTTAGTTTCAAGTTGGACTTCTTTGTTTTTATATTTCACAGATGACTTGTGTATAAGTTCCTTCTCATGAAAATAGTGACTAGGCTAATGTGATTTAAAATAAGTCTGGTTACTGAAAATCTAAGAAATCATCAAGCTGTTTGGGATTTGTCGTTGAAAATCCACCAATGCTTGATTAATGCTTTCAGGTCTCCCCTGGATAGTTGCTGTTAGACTAACAGCCTCTCAGTTTGATTGTTCTGCAGAGTGATCAGTTCTGTAAGGTTAGGGGTGCTGCCATGGTGTGGCATTCACCCAAGTCACCACAGTCCCTGCTGTCTCACCACATAGAGTGTCCCGGCCACCTGGAAGAGTGAACGCAGCTTCTCCACATGCCTTATTCCCACTGACGCATTGATATGCTGGAACAGTCTGGCTCCAGGAGTATTAATATACTTTTTTTGAGACTGTCTACAAAATACTATTTTGTAAAAACTATGCTTTTAAATAGACATTGATGGGTTATATTTGTTTTATAATAATTGTGTACCTAATATTCAATTGTGATTAAACATAAATGTATATTTATAATCCTGTCCAATGTGAATTTTTACTCTAAGATGTGTTAGTACATTACTAATAAAGACATGGATTTCTATTTACATGAAATAATTGTAGCAATATTCCTAAATGCTACCTAAATAATTGTTCTGTCCATTTGCCATTATAAGTACTTTTATCTTTAGAAGATTGTATTACAGTCAGAATATATTAACCAGATTTAAACTGTAAGATATAAAATCTCAACTGAAATTCTTCCTGTTGTTGTAATTAAAGTTAGTTTTTAATTCCTTCGCTCTGGCACATCTTTGTTTTTCTATTTCTTTGTTTTAAATCCTTTCATTGACAAAGTCTCCCTTCATTCTCTCTGAACCTAAAGAACTTGGAAACGGTAAAACCTGTAGGAGAATAATATTGTTGTATGTATACAGGTAAAAATCCTTGTTGAGAAACAGTTTGAAAAATAAGCTTGTGTTTATAGCTTATGAAATAGTAAATGAAGATTCTATAATCCCATTTAATTGCACATAGCTTGTTCTAAGAATTTCTTAGGATTTTCTTTATTAGCAACTAAATCATGTTATACATTAAGAGTAGTTTAGTTGGAGGGCCTCATAAATCATTAGGGAGGTGTACAAATTGCAAAATATAATAGCTGAACTGCCATTACTACTGTTGATAAAAAACAAGAAATGGCATGTTAAGAAAAAAAAGTCAGGCATTACCATGTTCTGCATTATTGGCTATAATCCTCACCCCATCTTAGTATTCCATCTTAGTATTATATTCCATCTTAATATTCTAGCTGTTCCCTCGGTATTTGGTGGTATGCTTAATGCATGTCCCAGCCATCAGGTCTGACCTTGGCTGATGCTAGTCTTGGAGATTTATTTGGGCTCAGTCCCAGATGCAAGGACCAGAGGGAAAAGCTATAAGATTGAACCCAAGTAGTAGATGTGAAAGTCACCTGTAACTGGAAGGTCAAGAACCATTAACCACTCATTCATGCATTCATTCATTCAATAAATGTCTACTGAGGACTTGTACTAAGCCTAGTGCTAGATACTACACATAGAGACTCCAGGATGAACAGCTCTCTCTCTCTCTTTCTCTTTTTTTTTTTTAATTTATTTTATTTATTTGAGAGATGGAGTTACCGAGAGAGGTAGAGATACAGAGACATCTTCCATCTGGTTCACTCCCCAAATGGCTGGAATGGCCAGTGCTGAGGCAATCCGAAGCCAGGAGCCAGGAGCTTCTTCCAGGTATCCCACATGGGTACAGGGGCCCAAGGACTTGGGCCATCCTCTGATGCATCAGAGGGAGCTGGGTGGAAGTGGAGCAGCCAGGACTCGAACTGGCACCCATATGGGATGCCAGCACTGTAGGCCAGGGCTTTAACCTACTGCACCACAGAAACGGCCCCAAAGAACAGCTCTTGATTTCTGCCCCTAAAGAGCTCACAGCCTGGCTGGGGAGTCAGACATGTAAACAGCAGAACAATGCTTTATGGTAGACACAGTGATAAGGGAAAAAAGCTCAGGTTTGTATGAACCTGGAGTGGGAGCCCTCACTAGCCTTCCCTGGGACAACCAGGGAAGCAGACTACAAAGCTGAAGTTAAATCATAAGAAACAGAGCTATGGGCTGAATGTTTGTGTCCTTTCCACTCCTAATCGCCAACATGAAGATATTTGGAGTTGGGGTCTGTGGAAGGTGCTATGGTTTGAAGATTTAGCCCTCAAATTCATGTAGATAGTTGAATCCCAAAGTCATGAGTTGAATGTGCTTGGAGGGGAAAAGCTTGATCTAGTCATGGTGACTTGGAGGTGGACTTAGTGCGAGATCTTTAGATCATTGGGTCCAACATGGCTTTTATGAGAGGGCTGGTTATAAAGCCAAGTTTGGCTCAGCCTCTCTGCTCCCTAGCTCACTGTGTGATCATTCCTATACACACTCTTTTCTAGTGCCATTCTCTAGCCTCTCTAGACACCCAAATCAGGGGGCCTGCACCATCTTGGACTATGAACCTCCAAAACCGTGTGCCAAAGTAAAACTTTTCTTCATTAGGATCTTACTCCAGATGTGTTGTTTTAGTGATGAAAATCTAATTCAGGAGGTGATGAGGTCATGAGTGTAGAGCCCTGATGGTGGGATTAGTGCCCTTACAAGAGGAGACAAAAGAGAGCTTGCTTCCTCTTCCAAGGACACAGCAAGAAGCTGGTCATCTTTGGACCTAGAATCTGACCTTGCTGGTACCCTAATCTCAGACCTCCAGCCTCCAGAACTGTGAGAAGTAAATTTCTGTTGCTTACATTACCCAGTCTGTTGTCGTTGGTAATAGCAGCCTGAACTAAGACAAAGGGTTTGGAGTAAACCAGGACATGGAGAGACACTGCCAAGGAAGGAGAGAGCTACCTTGGAGGAAAGGCCAGTAGGATGTGTTCTGGAGATACTGGCATTTGATGGTGCTTGTGTGAGTTTTCATTTGCTTCTGCAACAAATTTCATGGTTGACAACAACGGAAATACATTCTCTTAGAGTTCTAGAGACCAAAGTTGGAACGGAATCTTACAGAACTAAAATCAAGGTGTTGGCAGGGCTCCTTCTGTCTGGAGGCTCCAGGAGACAGGACCTGTTCCTCACCTCTTCCAGCTTCTGGTAACTGTCATAGTCCCTAGCTTGTGGGCTTATCACTCTGCCTCCAGGGTCAGCCAGCTTTTTGTCTTCTGTAGTCTAATCCCCCTCCCTCACTTCCTTTCATAAAGATAAAGATGTTTGTCGATGTATGATAGTGGTACATCCTGATAAACCCTTCATCCGTTGAAAATATCATGTCATAAATGCATTTAATCCCCCTAACCCACCAAACATCATAGCTTAGCCTGGCCTTCCTTAAATATGCTCAGAATATTTATATTAGCTTATAGTTGGACAGCATATTTAACACAAAGCCCATTGACCATCAGGTAATGCATTGAATACCTGCATCTAAAAAACACTGGCAACACAGCTCACTAGAGTATCCATTGTTTATTTCCATGATCACATGACCTACTGGGAGCTAGGGGTCACTGCCACTGTCCAACAGGAGAGAAAGTATGGGGCCTGGAAAAGGCCAAAATTTGAAGTTTGGTTTCTGTCAAACACATATCATTGTCACATCATCATCAAGTTGAATAATCACTGAATCAGGGATCTTCTGTACTTGTGATTATATTTAGGGCCCATCTTTATAATCCAAGATACTCTCCACATCTCAAGATCCCAATGTAATCACACCTGCAAAGTGCCTTTTGCCATGTAAGGAAACACACTTCACAGGCTCCAGGGATGTGGGCCAGATATCTTGGGGGCCATTCATGGTTCCATCAAGGGGCTAGAAGATAAAGGATGAGGTGGGGAGTTGGGAGAGGTGAGGTAGGGGATACATGGAAGCTGATCACAGGTGACCTTGCAAATCGTAATGAAGAATTAAACCACCTTCCCATAGGATAAGGGGGTTTGGGAAGGGAAGGGACCAGCTTGTATTTTAGGAAGATCACAGTGGCTAAAATGTAATTGATTGCAGTGTAGCAAAAGGGTGGCCAGAGAGACTAGTTAGAGGCTGAAGTGACATCAGGGTAGCACAAAGAGAGTGCTCAAATGGGACACTTAGGATTCAAGACCAGCAGGATTTGATCTATAAATAAGGCTAGTTTGTTTCCAAGTAAATAGGGAAGGATCTGGGCAATTGAAAGGCATCCATCGTCTTCTGTTGCTCGGTCTTGCTCAGATTTGCAGCAAAAGGCTGATTGCTTATGGCTTGGGTGGTTTCAGCCATAGGTGTGAGCATACTTTAGGGAGTAGAGCCAAGGAAGGGATGGGCTGTAAATTTCTAATTCTGACTTTGCAATCTTAAACTATTCCAGAAAAATGTAAATCACTCCTGTGAAGATGGGAAGCCACTAGCAAGGACATAAGTGTCCTTAAGGCCAGCCGCTTTCTGGACAGGCACTCCTGGCTTTTAGTACACAATTGTTTCTCACAAAGTTCAGCCTCCCATCCTAGCAGTGGATGGGGAAGCTGCCTTGGTTACAAACTTAAAAGATTTATATAGATCTCAATGTTTCTTTTTATTCATTTGTCCCTTCCCTGGGTACATTGGTCTCAACTGGGTTTGTTGACTCAGATAATCTCTTCACTGAACCGTTTCACTAACTGGTAAATTATCCTGGAGATGTGGCAAAATGTGGAAGGTTAGCTGCAGATGCACAGACCAGATGGGCAGAAAATGCTAAACTCAACTCAGTGAACTGGTGTGACCTGTGCTGTCAGTGGGAGTCACATGTCCCAGATAACAGACTGAACTAAAAAATGATGCATAGAGGTCAGCGCTGTGATGTAGTGGGTAAAGCTGCTGCTCGTGGTACCGGCACCCTCTATGGGCACTGGTTCAAGTCCCGGCTGTTCCATTTACAATCCAGCTCCCTACTAATGCACCTGAGAAAGCAGCAGATGTCCCAGGTCCTTGGACCCATGAGAGACCCAGGAGAAGCTCCTAGCTCCTGGCTTCAGATCAGCTCAGCTCTGGCCTTTGCAGCCTTTTGGGGAGTGAACCAGCAGATGGAAGATCTCTCTCTCTCTCTCTTTCTCCCTCCCCCCTTCCCCCTGCCTCTTTCTCTATGTAACTCTGCCTTTCAAATAATAAAAATAAATAAATCTTTTTTTTTTTAAGAGGTGCTTAGAACTCCATCCATCTTTCTGATACACTCTAGAAATGTCTGAAGACTTTTGGGGAAGGAGGCTGAGGTCTCATTATATAAAAGGGAGCTTGAGTAAGTATAAAATGGACACTAAAGCAAATGTGACCCTAATTTGTCATCATGATCCCAGAAGACCCGAACAAAGTGGTTAAGAAGCAAAGAAAGGCCAGTGCCGCGGCTCACTAGGCTAATCCTCCACCTTGCGGCGCCGGCAGACCGGGTTCTAGTCCCGGTCGGGGCGCCGGATTCTGTCCCGGTTGCCCCTCTTCCAGGCCAGCTCTCTGCTGTGGCCAGGGAGTGCAGTGGAGGATGGCCCAAGTGCTTGGGCCCTGCACCCCATGGGAGACCAGGAGAAGCACCTGGCTCCTGGCTTCGGATCAGCGCGGTGCGCCAGCCGCGGCGGCCATTGGAGGGTGAACCAACGGCAAAGGAAGACCTTTCTCTCTGTCTGTCTCTCTCTCACTGTCCACTCTGCCTGTCAAAAAATAAAAAAAATAAAAAATAAAAATAAAAAAAATAAAAAAGAAGCAAGGATAAGGAACCTGTGTTGTGGTGTGCAGTAAAGCCAGCACGCCATATTGGCGCTGATTTGAGTCCCAGCAACTCCACTTCCAATCCAGCATCCCTGCTGATGCTCTTGGGAAAGCTGATACGCAGGGAAGATGGCACAAGTGGTTGGGCACCTGCACCCACATGGGAGGCCCGGAAGAAGCTCTGGGCTCCTGGCTTCTGTCTGGCCCATCATGGGCCCTTGTGACATTTGGGGAATGAACCGGTAAATGGAAGATCTCTCTCTCTGCTTCTCCCTCTTTCTCTCTCTCTGACTCTGCCTCTCAAATATTTAAAATAAATTTAAAAAAAAAAGCAAAGAAAAATGTAGGAAAAACAGAAGCAAAATATTTAAAGATTCAAACTCCAGAGACCACCTGAACAACTTTAACCTGACACCACTAAAAGAGAGAGAAAGGAATTAAGTTTTCCTTTACTTCATTTATTTCCTTTATCTCCCAGTCTTAGCTGTAGTTTCTTCATCTGAAAACTGTGGCTAATTGTATCCACCATCTTGTTAACTTTAGAAAAAAAAAACAAAAGTTATGGGGGCCAGCACTGAGGCATAGCGGGTAAAGCCGCTGCCTGCAGTGCAGGCATCCCATAAGGGTGCCGGTTTGAGTCTCGGCTGCTCCACTTCCTATCCAGCCTCTGCTGTGGCCTGGGAAAGCAGTAGAGGATGGCCCAAGTCCCTGGGCTCCTGCTTGCCTGGAAAAACCTCCTGGCTTTGGATCGGTGCAGCTCTGGTTGTTGTGGTCATCTAGGAAGTGAGCCAGTGGATGGAACACTTCTCTCTCTCTCTCTCTCTCTCAGCCTCGGCTTTGGCTTCTCTGTAACTCTGCCTTTCAAATAAATAAATCTTTAAAAAAAAGAAAAACAAAAGTTATATTTAAATTAATATGAAGACCTGTTGAAACTAGGAGAGATGACTACAGGGTTTGAAGCAGTCATATATTCAGTACCTAATATTTCAATCTTTCTTTTTATTTTGAAAGATTTTATTTGTTCGAAAGTCAGAGTTATACACAGAGAGAAGAAGAGGTAGAGAGAGAGAGGTTTTCCATCCTTTGGTTCACCCCCTAATTGGCCAAAATGGCCAGAGCTGCGCCAATCCAAAACCAGGAGCCAGGAGCTTCTTCGGGGTCTCCCACATGGGTACAGGGGCCCAAGGACTTGGGCCATCTTCTACTGGTTTCCCAGGCCATAGCAGAGAGCTGGATCAGAAGTGGAGCAGACAGACTTGAACCAGCGCCCATATGGGATGCCAGTACTGCAGGTGGCATCTTTACCCACTATGCCACAGTGCTGGCCCCTCTTTAAAAAAAAAAAAAAAAAACAACAACACAAAAAACAAATTTGAGTGGCAGAGAAAGAGCTCCCATCTGCTGGTTTACTTCCCAAATGCCCACAGAGGCCAGTGCCAAAACTGGGGGCTGGGAACCCAATCCAGGTCTCCCACATGGGTGGCAGGAATCTGATTACTTGAGCCATCATCACCTGCTGCCTCCCAGGGTCCACACTGGCAGGAAGCTGGAGTCAGGAACTGGAGCAGGAATGAATCCAGGTACTCTGGTGTGGGATGTGGGCCTCTTAACCACTAGACCAAATGCTCCCTCAAAATACTTTCTTTCTTTCTTAAATATGTTTATGTATGGGAAAGACAAGTCATTGAGAGAGAGTGAGAGAGATGGATCTTCCATCTGCTAGTTCACTCCCCAACTGCCAGCAACAGCCAGGGCTAGGCCACGTCAAAGCCAGGAGTCAGGAACTCCATCTGGGTCTCCCGCATGGGTGTCAGGGACCCAAGTACTTGGGTCAGCATCTGCTGCCTCCCAGGTGCATTTGAGGAATCTTGATTGAAAGTAGAGGTGGGATTAGATCCCAGGCACTCTGATAGGGGATGGGGTGTCCCAAACTGTGGCTTAACCTGCTCTACCACAATGTTTGTCTCTTTCTTGATTTTTTTTTTTTTTAAATAAAAAGACTGCAGTATTTTATGGTTGTATCTCAGGACTTTTCCAAGAGAACAGGAACACCTGATACTGCCCAGAGCTGCTGCTTTTTCGTAAATCTGAGACTGGGACTTCTGTTATTATCTTTCCCATGTGACAGAGGGAAAATTGGAGGTTCAGGACTCAATTGACCTGACACCAGTTTTCAAAAACCAAACAAGACACTGGTGTAGGGCCCTTGGCTCTGGATTGGCCCAGCTCCACTGTGTGGCCATTTTGGGAGTTAACCAGTGGATGGAGGACACCCTCCCCCCCCCCCCCCCCCCCCCAAAAAAAATTCAGGTATATTTTTTTTTTTAAATAAATAATTAAAAAAAAAAAAAAAGAGTTTAGATTGCCTACACAAATCATTGTCAACAGCTTTTTACAGGGGCCAGTACTGTGGCGTAACAGGTAAAGCAGTTTGAGTCCTGGCTGCTCCACTGATCCAGCTCTCTGCTATGGCCTGGGAAAGCAGAAGATGGCCCAGGACCTTGGGGCCCTGCACCTGGGTGGGGACCTGGAAGAAGCTCCTGGCTCCTGGCTTCAGATCAGTGCAGCTCCGAGCGTTGCAGCCATCTGGGGAATGAACCAGTGGATGGAGGACCTCTCTCTTTCTGTCTCTCTTTCTCTCTCTCTCTGCCTCTCCTTCTTTCTCTGTGTAACTCTTTCAAGTGAGTAAATAAATAAATCTTTAAAAAAAACCAAACAGATTTTACAGTCCTCTGAGATGCTTAAATAAAGCAAAACAAAACATGCCCAAAGACTCCCCAGGCAGAGCAGTTAGCCAAGTGTTGTAGATGAAAGGTGCAGACTCCTTGACTTCCAATTCTGCCTCTGCCACTTGGCGGTTACGTGACTAGGTACTCACATCTCTCCGCTTCAGCTTTCCTGTTGGTAAAACGAGGAAAATAACGATACTTTAGCGGGTTGTTCTAAGGATTAAATGAGTTAATAGGAGTGAGCCACTTAAGAACAGAGCCTACCATACGGTAATCGCTGTTTAAAAAATCCTCAAATAAACTGGTGCAAATATTTACATGTTTATGAAATCCGTGGATAGAATTCCCCCATCGGCCTCTCACACACGCGCTCTCCCGGGGATTCTAGCGCCTAGTTTGGATTTCCAATCTCTGAAAGCAGCGCCTCTTTGGGTTCCCGCCTCCTGGAAGGTTGACACTAACCAATGAGTGAAGGGAGCTTTTTTCTTTTCTTTTTTTTTAATCTCCGGAAACTTGTTACCTGGACCCTAAGGGCCCAAAGGACTAAGGCTTCTCTAGGGCGGAGGAGCTCCCCCAGTGCCCCTTGGGAACTGTAGTTTTCCGAAGGTCACGTGCGTGCTCGATGCCCCGCAAAGAACTACAACCCCCACAAGGCCGCGCGCCGCCACCACCCCCTCCGCCTTCCACCCTTGCTCCCCGCCAGTTCCAGTACCGCCTCGCGGCGGCCGCTGCAAAAAGGAGATGGCTGACCGCGGCGGCGGCGGCCCTGCCGAGGCTCACAGCCCGCAGGGCTCCCCGGAGCAGGCGCCGCGGGTCCCGCGCGGGGTGGGACCGGGCGGCGGCGGCGGCGGGGAAACTCCGCGGACGGCGGCGCTGGCGCTGCGCTTCGACAAGCCCATCAAGCAGGCCTTCTACAACACGGGAGCCGTGCTGTTCGTGTGCCTGTGCTGCGGCGCGGCCGTGCTGGTCTACTTCATCCTCGAGGCCTTCCTGCGGCCGCTGCTGTGGGCCGTGCTGTGCGGCACCTTCCTGCACCCCTTCAAGAGCTCGCTGACGCGCCTGGGCCGCCACTGGCTGCAGCGGCTGCACCGCGCGCACACGCCCATCGTGCTGGCCGCGCTGCTGCTGCCGCTCTGCTTCGCCGACTACGGGGTCGAGGCCCTGGGCGAGCAGGCGCTGCGCCGCCGCCGCCTGCTGCTGCTGCTGGGCGCCGGCGGCCCGCTGCTGTATGGCCTCTACTGCCTCGGTAGCTACCTGGGCGTGCAGGTGCTGCTGGCGCACGCGGGCGCGCTCATCTGCCGCGGGCTGGACTACTTCAGCAGCCTGTGGGTGAGTGAGCGGCGGGCCGGGGGCCCCAGCGAGCGCGCCGTCCCGTTCCCCGCACCCCTAGCTCGCTGCGGAGCAGCCCCGCGGGTCCTCGTCGCCGTGCAGGGGCGACCGAAGGTCCACACCTGTGCTGTACTGAGCGTCCGTCTCCGCCTGCCTTCCCACGCCGTAGGAATCTGGAGCACTTCCTTCCAAAGAGAGGGCGCGAGTGATTCGAAACAGCACTGCTGCTCCCGCTCCGCCCCCATCCGTATTCATGAGCCCTGTCGGGGGGCTGGGGCCCCCGTTGAGTGTAGCTGTTCCACTTTCCCAGGAGCGGGTCCGGAGCCGGCCGGGTTAGGGGCTTGGTGTTACTCCCGATCGGAGAGGGAGCGCTTGCTCTGCGAAGGTCGGTTTTGCACAGTTGGAGGCTGGAGCTGGAAGGGATCTTAGAGACTCTAGTCCACTTTGCCATCCGGTGGACAGGCTAGGGCCTGATCGAGGCAATCAGGTTCCTCAAGTGCCGAAACAGCATTCTTGCAGCCTCCGGCCCCGGTGATTTCATTATAGCCTCCCCGCCCCCCTCTGGGTGTTGAGTGCTGAGGCCTCTATCCCCACACTTCTTGGGACCCTTGTGGCTTCCCGCCTGGATTCCTGGAACAGACTGGGTGGAGAGGTACATTTGTGGTGCTTAGATTACCCTGCACTCATCCTTAGAAAAATCAAGGAGCTTTAGAAAAGGAAGAAATTCAGAGATAATCTAATGACAGACTGTATTGTAGACCATTTATTTATTCACATATTTAACTGGGTAGTGTTAAAAACATGAATATTTGATGCATGAGAATGCTTAGTGATCAGTAACAAGTACCATTTGAGAATACTTTTGATTCACTTCCTTTGTCCATTGAAGTTCAGTGAACTTTGACATCATTAAGTTGCAAAATAATGCTCCTTATCTGTTACCAGGGTTTTGACTTGCCTGAGGTCATTGGTAGAATGAGTGATCCCAGACTTGTATTCTTTCTTGCTGGAACCATCTCTTGGGACGAGTTAAAACTTGATTGAGCTTTTTGTTAGGTCTTGGGCTTTGTGAGGGATTAACAAGAGGAGTAGATGCAGGGCCTGTCTTCAGGATGCATATAATCATATGTGAGCATGTTCCAGTGGCAGTGGACATGCCACAGGCACAGAAAATGTGATTGTCTCAAAGTCACAGAGCTTGTGAACACTTCTGTGGTTCACTTGTGTGGAGGCGCAGTTCAGTGCTCTTTCACCTATTTCACAATTCAGTTAAATGCGTTGCATGACTTACGCAGAGGGTGGAACACTATGAGCTGTTAAGAAATACAAGGACTCCTCTGACTTAATTCTTATCCTCAGCATACTCCATCTTCTCAAAGTCAGACACAATTATAGAATCTGCTAACTTAGAAAAAAAGCTAGGGAGAAGTTTTTTTTTTTTTTTTTAATTAATTAATTTATTTGAAAGAGAAGAGGAAAGGCAGAGAGAGAGAGTTCTTCCATCCAATGGTTCACTCCGCAGTTGGCCGCAACGGCCAGAGCTGCGCTGATACAAAACCTGGAGCCAGGAGCTTCTTCTGGGTCTCCTACGTGGGTGCAGGGGCCCAAGCACTTGGACCATCTTCTACTGCTTTCCCAGGCCATAGTAGAGAGCTGGATTGGAAGTGGAGCAGCCCATATGGGATGCCGGCACTTCAGGCTAGGGCATTCATTAACCCACTGCACCACAGTGCTGGCCCCTGGAGAAGGTTTTTAAAAACTTTATTTCGAACAGACAGATGGAGAGAGATCTTCCATTGGTTTACCCCCCCCCCCCACCACCAACTGCCCAGCACAGCCAGGAACAGACTGAAACTATCTGGGTCTCCTATGTGGGTGTCAGGGACCCAAGGACCCAGACCATTACCTGCTGCTTCCCAGAATGCACTTTAGCAGGAAGCTGTGTTGGCAGCAGCACCGGGACTCAAACCAGGTTCTCCAGTGTGGGCTGTGGGTGACTTAACTCTGCTGACATTTTTGACTGTTGATACTGCCCAAGTGACATATCCATCAGACTGTAGGAAGTCACACAGGAAAAGCCTCCCGTATATGAATGATGTATTTTCATACTAGAGAGAGAAGTTGAGCGCAGGGGTAAATTGGCATGATTAGTGGATGCCAGGCTCTCATTGGATAATCAATGGACAGAGTTGGGGAGTTAAGTATTTGTGAAGTGTTCTCATCTAGGGGATATATCTTTAAATATCTTAGTGTAGATAAACCCTCTTCTTTATGTTTTGCTTGCATGGGTTGTGGGTAAGTAGAAATGAAGTAAGCTTGGGGGTAAGAAGAGAAAGGTTAAGCCAATGAATGATTTTTGGAAAGGCTTGGAACTAAGCTGTGTGGCTGAACTGATAGGAGAGAAGAAGAAGAGAAGAGCATTGAAAAACAAAAAAAATCAAAAATCCTAAGAACCTGTGATGGAAGAGACAGCATGCATTAACTAAAACTGAGTATGGGGGCCAGCGCTGTGGGGCAGTGGGTTAAAGCCCTGGCCTGAAGTGCCAGCATCCCATATGGGCACCGATTCGAGTCCTGGCTGCTTCTCTTCTGATCCAGCTCTCTGCTATGGCCTGGGAAAGCAGTAGAAGATGGTCCAAGTGCTTGGGCCCCTGCACCCATGTGGGGACCTGGAGGAGGCTCCTGGTTCCTGGCTTTGGATCGGTATAGCTCCAGCCATTGCGGCCATCTGGGGAGTGAACCAGTGGATAGAAGACCTGTCTGTCTCTACCTCTCTCTGTAACTTTCAAATAAATGAAATAAATCTTTAAAAAAAAAAAAAACTGAGTTTGGAGTGGTGTCTCCAGTTGATCTCAGTTGCGAGTTTTACCTGCTGAAATGGAGGTAGTGGGATGAGGGTGAGCTTTGAATGGGAAGCAGGGAGTCCTCCCTCACCTCTCAGCCAGAAGTGCTGATGAAGGCCTGACATAAAGTGAAAGGTGGTCATGTGACTGGCAGGAGGCCCACCCTGAAACTTTATCTCATAGGACACACACAGCTGTGTGGTTTTGTGAGCCCAAGATCACAAAGGCAGGGCTGCCTTTACAGACCAGCGGCCTTTATACTTTCTAGACAGCTTTGAGCCTGCTGTTGAAGAGAGGTGTGGATGAGCGAGGCAGAAAACATTTAAGCAAATCTATGTTTTGTGAGCTGACAATTCCTGTGTTTAAGATACAACTTTTGATACTATGTGTAGACATTGGATTCAGTGTTTCCATGGGTGTCATTTTGTCCTCACAACAATCCTGTGAGGTAGGAGCAGGGGATTTTATGTGTCAAACTAACTTAGAGGTTGATCTGTTGGTCCTGTCAGCAAGTGGCAACAGACAGCAGTCATTAAAACTCTTCAGAACAACATACAATGAAGGTATTAAAATTTTCTCCTAATACATAGTGTTTAAATTGTTACATTTAAAACATACAAATTGAGGGTCAGCACTGTGGCATCCCATATGGCGCTGGTTTGAATCCCATATGCTCCACTTCCTATCCATTCTCTGCTGTGGCCTGGGAAAGCAGTAGAAGATGGTCCAAGTCCTTGGGCCCAGGCGTGGGAGATCCAGAGGAAGCTCCTGGCTCCTGGCTTTGGATCAGCCCAGCTCCAGCTGTTGTGGCCATTTGGGGGAGTGAACCAGTGAGTGGATGGAAGACCTTCCTCTCTCTTCCTCTCTCTGCATCTTTAAAAAAAAAATACAGGGGGCAGGCACTGTGGTTTAGCAGGTAAAGCTGCCACCTGCAGTGCCAGCATCCCATAGGGACGCTGGTTCAGTCCCTGCTGTGGATGGAAGACCTCTCTCTCTTTGCCTCTCCTCTCTCTGTGTAACTCTGACTTTCAAATAAAAAAGAAAATTCTTTAAAAAAATACAAATTGAATTTAGTTTTAGGAAAATAATAGAAGGCTATTAGGATTGAACAAATCACAGGTATTCCCTTAGAGACTCCTAGTCATCTGGAAACCTCAGTCATCTTCCGTCTGTCTTCTCTGTTAAACTGCTGTGCCGTTTTCCAGGTCCTGTCCAGTTTTCCACTGTGCTGTCCCTAGGACCCGTGTTTTCCTTTGTTGCCAGTTCATCTTTCCAGTTCAGTTCTTTTTGTCACTTTTGTGTTACTTCAGTCTTCTAGCTCTTTCCTTCCACTCCTGTCTCCTAAAAATACTCCATCCTGCTTACAAGTGGAAGACTAAAAATCTCTAATTCTTTTTCAACTTTCAAATATATTAAAACATTTTACTGACTTAGTAGTTGATTTCAGAATGCTTTTAAAAATCAACTGTTGCAACAGGCTCCCATGTGACTCGGTCCTTGGCATGTCTCTGTAGTGTAGGATAGTGCAAGCTAAATCTGAAAAGCAAATGGCTTCTTCTACTCCACCATCTTTCTCCTAGGAAGTGTCCGGCCTTCTTGTTCAGATCATTAACAGTTTTTGCAGTAGTAGCAAATCTATTTTCTCCATGTCCTCTGAACCCATTGTTTCCATTTTTGTAAAAAAGCACGAGGTACAAAAAATAGTGGCTGAAAGATCAGAAGACCTTAGGTTTTTATTATTATTATTTTAAGGTTTTATTTACTTTTTAAAAAGATATTATTTTATTTATTTGAAAGACAGAGTCATAGAGAGAGGTAGAGATGGAGAGAGAGGTCTTCCATCCGATGGTTTACTCTCCAGATGGCTGCAACAGCTGGAGCTGCGCTGATCCGAAGCCAGGAGCCAGGAGCTTCTTCTGCGTCTCCCACACAGGTGCAGGGACCCAAGCACTTGGGCCATCTTCTACTGCTTTCCCAGGCCATAGCAGAGAGCTGGATTGGAAGTGGAGCATCCAGGACTTGAACTGGCGCCCATATGGGATGCTGGCGCTTCAGGCCAGGGCTTTAACACTCTGTGCCACAGCGCTGGCCCCGCTGGCCCCAAGGTTTTATTTACTTGAGAGGCAGAGTTACAGACAGAGGGAGAGATAAAGAGGG